ACAGATCACATAGGATAACGGGCCGCAGGGAGTAATACACCTGTCTAAGAATTCTAAGAAATAATAGTACTGTATTTCTTAGAATAAGTACTATAATCTAGTTAGTATCTAAGTCTAATAGGGTTTCTTTCTAATTATAAAGGATTCCCTCCTATATTAGCTATAAGTATTTAGCTCTTTAAAACGCGCTTAATAAGTACTATAGTCTAGTTGTAAACCCCCCTAAAGGGTATAAAGAAGAGGAGACCCTAGAGGCTTTTTAGTTAGATATTAAGTAATTTAAGGCTGTTATTTAAGACGCTAACTAAACCCTAGCTAAAGATAATATAGTTACTAATTCTTAGACTAAGGGTATAGAGGCTACTAAGAACCTTCTAGCTACTTACTACTCTGCCTTATCTAAATTATATAGGGTTTATAATAGTATCTTTAAGAAAGTATTAGTAGTTAAGGGTATAACGCAAGCTGTGAAGGGCTTAGGCTTATGCCTAAGCCTAGGCCTAACACAAGATAGATAGAGTCTAACACTACTACTAATCGAACACGCTACACACCTATAAAAAGGCGTAGAGGGCTTACCTCTCCTTTAAGATACTAAATACTATTATTAACGCTTATTGTATTCTCCCTTAAGGCTAGTCTATAATATAAGCTATTAATAAATATAAGGAGGAAATAGTAGCAAGTTAGGAGGTAACCTAGTTAGCTATAGCTTTACTATCTAAGACTATTAAAAAGGTAACTAAATCTTCTCTAACTCCTACCCCTACTCTAAAGCTAGCTACGCTAGTTACTAAAAAGGTAGTTAAAGAGCCTAGTCTAGGTAGGATTACTATTAATTTAGATTCTAATCTAGATTCTAATAAAGCTATAGATAGTAAATAAAAGGGGGTTTCTAGGGGTAGTGTCCTAGGAACCTTAATAGTTCTAAAATAGGTCTAAATATAATAAGATAATATATAATACCAAGATAGTAATAATAAAAGGTAGTTAATAGCTTAATCTATACCTAAATATATTATAAATTAAGTCTTATATTAGATATAGTTATTATAAAGTAATATTAGATCTTCCTTACCTCTTTCCTATTCTTAAATCTATTTAGGTACGCTATATAGAGGACCTAGCTAATATAGATACTATAAGTAAAATACTTATAATTTATAGGGAGCTTCTATAAAGTTAGAGGCAGGATACTAAATAGGATTAGGATTATATCTAACCTACCTAACCTTATATTTTAGCTTAAATTAAAATACTTTGCTAGCTAGGATTTCTTCTACCTTCTATTCCTCTACACCTTATATAGGGGTACTAGGGGTTTTTAAACCCTCTTATCTAGGTAAAAGGTCTTAAGGATCTTTATATAGTATATTAGATAAGAAAATATTATAGATCTTAGAACTAGGTAGTAATTAGAGGTAATACGTATTTCCTACTTGTTCTAGTACCTTAAAGGGACCCTCCTAGCGTTTAGAGAGTTTTTAGCTAGGTTATAAAATAGCAAGATTAGTAGTAGATAAATAAATATAGTTACTATTAATCTAGTTAACTAGATAGTAATAGTAATTAATAGTAGAGCGTATTTAGTCCTAAGCTCTTTCTATATTTTCCTTAGAAATCTTCTATACGTTGTGTATCTAAGTAGCTAGGGATAAGGTGTCCTTATAGTTTAGTTTCTCTAGTATAGTAGATAGGGCTTTTTCTAGTTTCTAATACTAGCTTTACTTTAGTAAAAAGCTAAAGAGAAGCTAATATAAAGCTATGCTAATAGATAAATAGGGGAGAGTACTTTAGGCACGGTCTATTATTAGTAGTAACTTACTCTAGTTATCCTAGTAATAGGATATAAAAGGCCTTATTCTCTAATTAATATACTTATTTATAATCTTAGTTTGTCTATTAGTTTATTTATAGTAGGTAGTAGAAAGCTTAACTTTAGTGCCTATAATCTAATAGAACTTAGACTAGAAACTAGATATAAACTAGGGACCTTAATTAGAAATAATAGTATCTAGAGTATATCTAAATTAGTACACCTACTACACAAATAAGGTAGATATACCTTAAGCGTTTATAGTTTTATAGTAAAGGATAGTAATAGCTTATTATAATAAGTAATTAATAATAACTATAATCTAATTATAACTAAGTTAATGTGCTATAGTATAAAGTGTATAGGAGAAAACAAGACTTAGCCTAAAAGATTAGGCAGGTTAAATAGTATAAAGGTATAAAGGATTAGAGGATAGAATAGTATTACTTCTAAAGACTTTACTTTAACTCTATAATATTAACTTTTCTCATATAATCTAATATTAAATATATATCCTTTACTATAAGATTACTACTATTAAACCTAGCCCCTTCTACATCTCCTTGTTTAAATAGGTTACTCTCCCTATTAGTTTATTAATAATAGGGAATATCCTTAAAATTAATATATAGGTGCTGCATTAGTAGACTAAGGATAGAAAGGGGGTAGAGCATGCTAGGGAGTTAGTGCTATCTTAGGTGCCCTCTCCTATAAGGGATATAGTTCTAAATATAGTATTTATAAGTTATCTTTACACCTTTCTAGTAGTATTATTAGGCTAGAATCTAATAGGTTTTAGTAGCTAATAGGTAAGTAGTAGATACTTAGTTATAAGCCTTATAAATTAGTCTAGTATATAGGACTAATCTAGTAGGCACGTAAAGTTAATTCTAGTAGAGAAGAAATCTATTTTCTATTTAATAGTACTTAAGTAACTTTAATCTATCTATTAAGAATAAGGACCTATTTTCTTAAAGAAGAGTTTTAATAAACTCTAGGGATCTAAGAGTTATAGGGTTCTAAACTACTAAAATTAAAGCAAGGATTAGTAAGAAACGATTAGCTAGGTAGTCTTACGCTAAGTTAGAAGGAATTTAGAGGTATAACTTATCTAGAGAGATTATTACTTATAAGCAATTATCTCTTTAAGTAGTTTTAAGATTAATTATATCCTATTCCTTTTTATTTAGGATATTAG